TTATATTTCAAGTTTTATGTTACATGGTGGGATTTTCAGATTTTCTGAAGAAAAATTATAAGCATGCAATGTCCAACATTGGGAAGCTTTGGAGTAGGGAGTGCATTGTGATGCATGGGATTGACGCTACAATAGTTGCAAGTCATCAATTGTTTGGAGGAATGACATTTGATCAGATAATTTACAACTTTCCCTTTGCTGGATTTTTCAAGGACTTATCTCGCGAGACTCAATTAAGGTCAATCGGTTATCATTATTTTGTTTTATAATTCTTTCGTTAATGACGTTGTTTTTTGACTTCTTGTAATATCGTTGATATATATCTTTCATTTCTCTTCATCTACAGAAAGCACAGAAGACTCGTGAGTTTGTTTCTTAAAAATGCTAAAGCGATGATTTGTGAAAATGGTGAAATTCACATAACCCACAAAATCAACGATTTTCATATAGAATGGAAGTTAGAATCACTTGCTTCTTTCCACGGGCTTAGGCTCATTGAGGCTGTGGAATTCGATCAGTCTGATTACGAGGGTTATAAAACAAAGTGTGGATTTGGGGGTGACAATAATTTCAATTGTTACCCTAGGAAAACCTACATGTTTGGTCTTAAAGGGGCACAAGTTCTTCTATTAAGTTAGTCACTTGTTAAGTAAAGAGAAAATAAATACATTGATAATGTTATGTAAATATTATTTCTAATTCGCGAGTGTTTAAACAATGAGACTATGTTTGAATTTGGTGTCGTCTTCTTCTTATGTCTAATGTGTTGAATTTCACGCACAGCGAGCCCTATATGGTCAAGTCAAGCAAAAAGGGAGTTTGCTGTTTGTAAGTTGACACACTTTATAAGACCAAACCGAGTTTGGTAGATCATCTAAATATTTTTTTGATTGTAAATATTACTAATATACTTCCATGTAATATAAAATTATATAAAGTCAGAATTTTTTTTTTATTGGGGATACACTTTTGTCCTTTAATTTGTAGAAAATGTTAAATAATTTTATAGTCAATGGCTTGATATCCCTGGATATTCAAGCCTCTTCCCCACTAATATATATATTGTTTCCACTTTCTTGAACATAATTTTTTTTTTTTTTTCTCTTTAATATTTCAATAGTTTTGTTTGTTTTTATGAATTTACTTGCATGCGAGACAAGGAGAACTTCAATCAATTTGATACAAAACATCCCATAAAGGAGGTAAACACCATGGCAAGTTATATGAAAAAAGGTCCACCCCGTTGTGCTAGGGCTTCAGTTGATTGACAAATCTGCTCAAGCTC